TTGTCAAGTCATTAGTGACTCATTAATCGATCTTCTCTAATTTATTGGGTGTAAGGAGTAAAGCGAGGTCAAATGCTCCCACATACCCACGGCAAACTGGATTTTGAAGCCCATTTCCTGACCAGACTTCCTTTCTCCATCTGTCAGTGAGGCCCACTTTATCCCCCTGGGGCTCCCAAACCCATCACCAGGTATGTTTGGGAGGCCCTGGCACTGACCTTACTCCTTTTGGAGACAGGGTCTCCTGCAGTCCAGGCTGGCCCCATAGCCAAGGATTCAAACGCTGGATTCCTGCAGCTCCTGCCTCTACCTCGAAAGTGCCGGGGTTACAGGCACAAGGCACTGCTTTGGTACATCGGTTTCACACTTTCATTCACCTGTTCTAGATTTTTCTGTTAAAATATCCAGGACAGGATCTTGCAGTCCCACCACTGGTGAGGCCTGGGCATAACCTGTTGGTATTAAATTCATCTGCAATGTTGTGTAACCATCACCACTATTTCCGGGACTTTTTTCATCATCCCCAACAGAAACTCTGACCCATTAAGCAATCACTGTTTTCTCTGTCCCAGATGTCCTTTTCTGCTTTCTATCTTTATGGCTGCCTGTTCTAATGCCTCACACAGGCAGAGTCCTTTCATGTTAATTTATTTGACTTAACATAATGGGCTCAAAGGTTTGCTCCTGTTGCCACATGCCAGGCTTTTTATTCCAGGTGTGGTAGTGCAGGCCCAGAATCAGCATCTGCATAGCTGAGGCAGGAGGATCACCAAAATTTGAGGCTAGCTGGACTTACACATTGAGCTCTGTGTCAGCCAGGGCTAATGAGTGAGATCCTGTCCCAAACTAACAAGCAAGCAAGCAAGCAAGCAAACAAACAGACAGGGGCTGAGGATGTAGCCTAGTTGGTGTGGTGCTTTTCTACCATGCACAAAGCTCTGGGCTCAAAACCCGGCACCATGTAAAAACAGTGGTGGCACATACCTATAATCCCAGCCTTTGAAAGGTAGAGGCGAGAAAACCAGAAGTTCAAGGCCACCCTCAGGTATGTAGTGAGTTCAGGGAAAACCTGGGGTCAATGAGAGCCTGTCTCAATAATAACAACAACAACAACAATGACTTGATTCTTAGACATAATGGTGCATATCTTTAATTCCATCACTGTAGAAGCAGAGGCAGTACGATTGTGGGCTTGAGGCTAGCCTGAACACCATAGTAAGGCCTTGTAGCAAAATATGCACAACAGGGCCAGGCATGATGGTACACACCTTCAACAGCAGCACTCAGAAGTTGGAGGAAGCCGAATCTCTGGGCCTTTGAGGACAGCCTGATCTGCAAGGCATTTCCAGCCCAGCCAGGGCTATACAGTAAGAGCCCATCGGAAAACAAAACAGCAAATATATACATATATATGTATATACATACTCTGTATATATGCATGCATATAGGTGTGTATGTGTATGTTCATACATGTGTCTATAGAAACTATATATGTATATATAAACATATATCACAATACGTGTATTGTGATCACAATACACAAAAAAACTTTGCATCATGACTATTTGGGGAACAGCGCTGGGGAGTCAAACTTAGGGCAAGCCCCTACTCTAAGCAGGCACTCTGCTACTGAACGCTCCTCCAGCCCGGGCCCTGAATGCTTTAACTGCAATGAATCACCTTCACAGTGTTAAGCAACCATCACCCTTTCCCATGTCTAAAATGTTTGCCATTCCAGATAGAAACTCTAACCACTGTGTCCTTTTTCATTTTCTCCTCTCTCTAGCCCCTGGTCACCTCTAGTGTACTTTCTGTCTCTAGGTGCCTCAGATAAGAGCGATACTACAGCGTTTGTCCTCTTGTATGTGGCTGATTTCACTCACCCAATGATCTTCAAGGCTCACCCACTTTCCCTTGCATCAGAAATTCAATATGGAGTCCGAAGCATGGCTCGAAGGTTAAAGGTATGAATCCAAGTGGGCACCCACCAGAGCACAACTGTCAGTAGCTGGTTCTCTCTACCACTTGAGTTTTGGGGATCCAGCTGGTGTGTCAGGCTGGGCAGCAAATGCCTTTGTCCCGTATCCATGTCACAGGACCCTTTCCTTTTTGGAATTTTTTTGAAATAGACCATTTTGATTCCCTTTTTTCTTTTAATATGTTCTTAGTGGTTCTCCCCCAAACTGCGTGTATGTGTGCCTGCGTGCACAGGCGAGACCTGAGGCAGCTGATGTCCTTGGTCACGCTTTGCCTTATGTACTGACTCCAGAGTCCACCCCATTACAGCTGAGTCTAGTGTTGCCCTGGAGGTCCCCACGGGTCGCCTTGCTAGGCCTGCATTTACCTGGGTTCTGGAGATGCAAACTCTGCTCTTCATACAAGCGCTTCATCAGTTTCCTTTAAAAAAAACATTTCCCCCCCCATTTCTATTTATTTGGTTTGGTTGAGACAAGATCTCGCCGTACAGCCCTGACGGGCCTGGAACTGAGAAGGTGATCAGGCTGGCCTTCAACCTGTGATCACAAAGCACCCACCCAGCAGCCCTTTGGAAAACAAAAGGCTGCCTTGTCTAATCTCAATAGGAGAAGACGCACCTCGTCCTACTGCAACTTGTTATGCCTAGGCCGGTGGTGGTGGTGGTGGTGGTGGTGGTGGTGGTGGTGGTGGTGGTGGTGGTGGTCAATATCCATGGGAGGCCGCCCCTTTTCTGAGGAGAAAGAGAGGAGGGGGTGGGGGAGGGGAGAGAGAGGGACTGGGAGGAGAGAAGGAAGGGAAAGCTGCTATCGGGATGTAAAGCTAATGAATTAATTAATAAAAAAGAAAAATATATCTTTTCTTTCCATGCATATGTGTGTGGATGTGTGTGCGCGCAAACGCAAGTGAGTGCAGGGGCCTGCTGAGCCCAGAAAAGGGCGCTAGATTTCCTGGTGGAGTAGTGGAGCTACCGGCTGTCTTGAGCTGTCTGTCGTCGGCACTGGGAACCTCACTCGGGTCTTCTACAAGAGCAGAATATACTCTTAACCACGGAGCCATCACTCCAGCCTGTACTCCGACCCTCTTTAGGATTTTAGTTCTTGGTATCAGTATTCCCAGAACCCGCGTCCTGAATATCAGGTGTCATGCTGCTGGTCCTTAAGGGCTGCTGACTTCTGCTTGTTAAGAGCTGGCAGCACTTGTGTGTGACTTTCCCAGGGCTCGGATTATAGGCATGAGCTGACACCCTATCCCACGCTATCTTTCCAGAGCGCATACTCTCTGTTGTGTGTGCCTGCAGAAACTGTTCCATTGTTTGAGGTCGCTTAGTGACCTGGGAAAGAAGGCTGTCTTTAAATGGCTAACGTGGAAGAGGATGGGGAAAAAGTATTGTTTCTTTAAACTCCCTGCACCTGCGGAGCTTGTAGGGGTGCAGCTGGGGTGAGACTTTGAAAGAGCTGAGCCTCACAGATTTACCAGCTTCATTGCTCTCCCAGATGCTATAATGCTCATTGAGATGACAGGACCCAAAAGAAGCCCTGCTGTGAGTTCTGGAGGGATGGATCCCAGTGCTTCCTAAACTACGGTCTGTGGTTTAGTTTTGTTTAAGATAGTGGCTCATGTAGCCCAGGCTGACCTGGGACTTTGTTTTGAGATAGTCTTGCTAGGTAGCCTGGGCTAACAAACTCTTGATCTTCCTGCCTCTGTTCCCCCAGTACTAGGACTAAAGCTATTTCCTACTCTGCCTGGCTCATATCCATGACTTCTCTGTTGCTGCCTTAGTAACAAGCTGGCCTGGGCTAAGGGGCGGAGATCGGCGATAGTGTTCGCCTACACGCATGAAGCCCCAGATCCAGCCTCTGGCGCTGGAGAAACAACAACACAAGTTTATCACCTCATAGTTTGTCGTCTCACCATCCTGTAGTCAGAGATTTGATATAGGTGCCACTGAGCTAAGATCAGAGTCCTATTTTCCCTTCAAATAAAGAGCAGGCTTCCCAGGGGTAGCAACTGAATATGGTATCACAAGTTACAGTAGACGAGGCACAAACCCGCATATTAAGCTGGGTGAGGCGAACCAGTAGAGAAAAAAGGGTCCTAAAAGCAGGCAAAAGAGCCAGAGGCAGCCCCACTCTCACTGTTAGGAGTCCCACAACCGTTAACATTCATGCAGATGGCGTAGCTCGGACCCATGCAGGCTCCGTGGTTGTTGCTTCTGTCTCTGTGAACCCTTAAACCCCGCTCAAGTGATTCTGTGGGAAGGTTGGCACATTCCAATCTAAAGTGACTGTTACCAGGCTGTGACCTGATTGCCCCTGCTTCTGACACCGATGCCACCTGAATTCTTTGGCCCCCAGTGCAAAACAAAAGACCTCTTACTCTGAATCACTCTACCTCCTACTCCGCTCCCCTGTTGTTTTTTTTTGTTTTTGTTTTTGTTTTTCCATTTTATTTTGTTCTTATTTTGGGTCCACCGAAATTACCCATAATAAACTCCTTAATTTAAGTCGATTCTCTCTAATTTCATCTGTAAAATTTCTTCTGCCACGTACTGTGCTGGGCGTTAGGACGTGGCTGTTTTTGAGGGGCCCTTTATTCTGCCTGCCACACGCCCTCTAGGAGCCACTGATCCCTGTCACCGCTTGCTGCTCTGCACAGCTCCGTCTTTCCCTTGAAGTCGGGGTACCTTGGATCCAGCACAGGCTGAGGTCTGCGTCTCTACCAGTTGCTTGTATGTGCCTGTCCTTCCGACCGGAGCCTCTCCTCTGATCATCCCTCTCAATCCTTAAGGTTCCAGACAACAGCCGGGCAGCATTCTCTGCAGCAGGGTACTTGCTGTTTCACCGTCAGCACCTCTTCCACTTGTGAGTAAGGGCCAGGTGTGCTGCGTCCATTGGAGTAGTACTCACGCCCGCTGTGAGTGTGCCGCTGCAAGCCGCAGGCGTTCCTTAAGCCTTGTGGGATGAACTGGTGGACCTCCCAAAAGGCCCAGGAAGCTTTTCCAATTTGTAATTGGAATTTCCTTTTCTAAAACACAGTACCATAAAAATGCCTAGTCCCTGGGACCCACACAACCTGGATCATCCACGGTAGAGAAAGGGAGGAAAAGAATGAGGATCCTTTGAGGTAGTTCAACTCTCACTCTTTTGACAGGGATCTTGGAGTCAATCTGGCACCAGAGAATGTCTGAAGTTGCCACACAAATAAAGGCAGCTAGGGATACCTGAGCGGCCTGAGCTCAGGGCTCTAGGGGCCTGAGCTGGGAGTGAGGATAGAGTTAGAGTTTGGAAGTTGGATATGAGTCAAGGATCTTAAGGAGTCCCAACTACTGGGGACCCAGAGCAGTGACCCCCTCTGGGAGAGATATGAAAAGCTGGAGAAGGAACCCAAGCCAGGTGCTTTCTGGTGGTGGGTCTTAAGTTCTGAGTGAGCCCACCCACCTCCTTGAGGTGAAACAAGGGCATGACTGGAAACAAAGGAGTGGGTGCTGCCCCAGTGGGGGGACAGTGGTGCCAGGGACCACCGCCCAGCTGCCCTGCTGCCTCCAACAGTGGAGAGAGACCGCAGGGCCTAGACAGTCCCACAGACACAAAGAAGAAGAGAAGCATGTACAGGATCACCCAGACTGGGCGGGAGCCCCTTTTATTTGGAGTTGCTGGGAAGCCAGCCGTTGCAGGTGGCTCTCAATGTGGAGCAGGATGGCATCCAGCATATGGAGGACCCTGAGGACCAGGGTGCGGTCTGAGACAGTAGCCTGCCGTTTCCAGTGTCTGCAGGAGCCAGAGGTCACCTGTGGGAGCTGAGGTAAGGACCAGCATGAGAGTGGAGGAGGCCAGGGGGTGCAGCCATGGAGCCAGAGGGAAGAGAGAAGGGGTAGTACGAGAGAGGGTGGGGAGACGGGGTACTGTGGATCTACCAGAGGCTAGGTGGTCCTGGGGTCCGTGGAGGCTTGAATGAAGAATGGGAGTGTGAAATGGGGTCAGTTGGGTCAGAGTACTGACCCTGAGAAATGGATAGGGATGGATTGGTTGTCGACATAGGTTCCATGGAGATGCAAGAGTAGGACACAGGGGTGAGGACAAGTTCAGGCAGGAGGCCCACAGGGCCGTAAGCCAGGCTGGTGGGAGGGAGGCTGAGTGGGGGCATGGGGCGTGAGCAGAAGCAGGAACGGTAGGGGACAGGACAGGGCTGTGCTCACCTGACCCTTAGGGTCCTGAGACCGCCACCGGTGCATCAGCACACGGCTGACGACCAACATCATGGTGGTGGTGATCGTAATTCCAGCCACGGGGTAGATGCGATTTCCTCCCAGGGCCATCCAGTAGCCAGGGCAGCCCAGAGTGGAGGTGCAGTCATCCAGGCTATTTGGCTGGCAGCCCCAGGGCTGCAAGTCCAGCCCTACTTGGTACCAGAGGGGCCGTGACCAGGCACGGCTGGGGACAGGCATTGCCAGCAGAAACAATGATGGCACTAAGAACAGTGAGTACAGCATGGCTGTGGCCACTGCGAGAGGTCGGAACCCGGGTACCTTGGCAACCGGCAAACACCCCTCCCCCAAGACTAGGCCCAGCTCTGAGGCACCAGGTTCCAGCTAGGCCCACAGCCTTTCAAAATACAGCTTGGCCAGACAATGGGATGTGGGGTCTGATTGAAATATTGCAGGCCTAGGGACTGGGTCACATTCTCTCAGGAGGACTAGGTCTGAACGGACTTGACTTGCAAACAACATGCTTGACTCCAACTCAAGCGTCATTCCATCCTAATCTGAGTGCCCCGTTGCCTTTAAGGTCAATGTTCTCCACGGGGCTAGCAACTGCCAAGATGGTAAAACAGCTCAGGGCAGCCTCCCACAGTTCGCTCTGCTCCACTCAGTACTGTGCTCAGCAAGCACTCGAAAGTGTGGCTTCCTTGAAGGTTCCTGCTGGCTGCTGCCCCTGTCTCACCCAGGCCTTCCTCAGCACCCTTCCTTGTTCTGGGAGCATGGCTTCCCTTCTAGAAAGCCACCTTTTCAAGGTTAGAGAGAGCTTTGTGTGCAGTCACCCCTTGGTGATACAGGCTGCTCTTTCTAGTATGACTCTAAGTTATTTTCTTTAGAGCGTTTCTGGCCACCTACACAATCATCCTTATTCTCAGACTATAAAAACACACCAGCTTCCTCCTAGCACCTATCCAAAGCCAGCCTGACAAGATTTTGTTTGAATTCTGCCTGCCTCTGGCTCCAAGTCTTCATTCAAACAATATTTACTAACCACTCCAACCCAGTGCCAGAATGGAGCGTGACAGAACCAACAAAAAGCTCTGCCTTCCTAGGCTGAGGTTTTGGCGGGAGCAAGGGAGGCATGTAAACACTTTGGTGCCAGGCATGGGCACAGGCCATGATAAAAATAGGGCCAGGCAAGTTTGCCTGGGTGACTTGGAGGGCAGGGAGCCTCTGTCTACTGTTGGGAACTTGCCCAGTGTCTAGGACTGGGCCTGGCGCCTAGAGCATGGCCTGATGAATAGCGAAATTCTCGTGTTCTGGGCAGGTGATGTGAATATTGCATTGTTCTAGCCATTTCCACGTGTAACACACCAAGCAACTCACGAGGCTGCCATTGCTTTTACTGCTCAGGAGCCCACGGCCCTATCCCTCCCATCACGGCGTCAGTGACCCATAGGACCAACATGTGCTCTGTTGATGTCTCATGCCAGAAACCAACCACGTCCTGGCTGACGGTGTTCTGCCAATCCCCACTCTCTAATACTGCGAGCAGGCAATTTGTAACAGTGAGTTTTAAATCCAGCAGCAGACCCCAGAATGGCTCTGATCTTTAGCTGGGGGCTCAGGAGTTCACTCTACATCCCTCAGAAACACCAACTCTGCCTTGCCTCTTGATCAGGCTATCTCTGAGTCTTCCGCTACCCTTTTGATTCCATTTATTTTTCCAGCTAGAGCTAAAGGGCTGTCTGTGTGAAACTGAAGAGAACCTTGAGCTTGTAAAATCCTAACCTGGCTTAGGCTTTACCTCTGCTCCTCTTCCTGTCCCTGACCTCCCCAAATCCTACACCCCAGTTCTGTCTATCTTAGAGTTTATAAGACAGATTGGGAGTCTGAGCTGAGGACCACCTGACACCCCTACCACGCCTAACCATGCCACAGCAGAGCCTGAAATTGGACAAACACATTTATTCCCAAAATTGTAAACTCATCACCTCCCTTCCAGCACCCAGGCAAAGCCAGTCTGACTTTAATAGCCCTGCCCCAGGCCTGTAGCGCTGAACACATCCATCCATGAGCTGAATGTGCATGTACACAGACTGGAGTCCTAGGCAGCACCTGGAGGTGGCCCAGAGGCAGGGGGTTTCCTGAGGGTGACCTGTCACGGCCTCCAGAGGTAGGCAGTCTCTTCCAGAAAAGTCAGAGTTTGGTGGCCTGCAGGAGAGAAGGTTCCTGTTTGTTTCCAAGGGACATATATGAATCCCTGCTCCTGCCCACAAACGACTTTCTTCCAGGCAGGAGGGGAAGAGCAATAGGTTTAATGTGGCCAGAGCCCTGGGCAATAGCCCGGGCTTCCTGGAGTTGGGGTCAGGGTGGGGATAAGCAACAGATTAACAAAAACTGCTCAGTGGTCCAGAGGCAGCTTACCAAAACAGGGCTGTTAGAGCCAGATTTCCGGTGGTAGAGGGCAAAGGTCACAGCGTCGTGGACAGAGGCAAAGAGATGCTGCTTAGTGATAGAGTCATCAAAGAAATTTCCAGCCTCAAGCTGGGTGACCACAGGACCTGTGGGCAAGGAGCAGGTGCTGACACTCAGATCCACCAGGACACTTAGTCCTTACGCACCCCTAGAATTCTTTGACCCCTGTGGCTACTTACTAGAAACCCGGTTGCTCCTGTATGTGTGTATATTGCTTGCACCCAGAAGACACAGCAGGACATCGGATGTTCTGTTCTTATCACTCTCAACCTTATTCCCTTGAGACAGTTTCTGACTAAACCTGAAGCTCTATTTTGACTACGCTGGCTGACCAACTACCTCCTGGGAACTCTGCACCCAGCAGCATGCAATATCAGTCTGGCTTATTTTATGTGGGAGCTGGGGATTTGAACTCAGGTCCTCACATGTGAACAGCAAGCCTTCTTACCCACTGAGCCATCTCCCTGGCCCTACTCTTGACTCCTGCCTCCCCTTATGCTGTTTGACAAGCCCCTTGACCGGAAGACTCCCACCCTCTGCCTGGATCGTTACTGCCGTCCCCCGTCAACGCACTGTAACAGGCTGCGATGAACACCTCCACTTCGATCTCCCGGAAGTCACGGAAAATCTGCAGCAACAAAGAGGGCTTGCCTCAGGGGGGCAGCAGTGGGGAAACGCAGAGAGGAGAAGGCGCATGGCAAGCGATGGGGTCAGCGTGAAGGCTGGAGGGGTCCTAGCCTGCCCACAGCCCCTTACGTTCTTCAGGTTCTTAATGCACACAGTGTCCACAAAGGAGAGGGGGCTCAGGTCTAGGACGAGGCTGTGGAAGCCTGGCTGGGGCAGGCCCAGGGACTTCAGTGTAATCACGGTTGCGGCCTTGTCGTCTTCTTGATTGTTGACGACTACATCCTGCAGCGCCTCCCCTTGGTGCACCTGTGGAAAAGAAACTCGTATTGGCCTGTTTCAGTTGTTGTGTTAGAGGATTATTCCCTCTGTCTGCTAACCTAGGCCCGGTCCTGGAAGCTTCCAGCCTCCATACAGTCTAACCTAGGCCTAGGCTGTTTCCAGCCTCTGAGACTTACTGCTGAGCTCTGGGCTGGCTGCTTTATCTCAGCTGTTCTGGCCCAAATTCCTCTCCCAGCTGATCTATTTAATTATTTATCATTTATTTATCATTTATTTACCATTTATTTATTTATTTATTTATTTATTTATTTATTTATTTATTTATTTATTTATTCAATCTGGCTTTTCTCTCGGCCTCTGAATTGCTCTACTTGGGCTCAAACTAACTCCTGGACTCCTCCTTCTCTGGCTCGTTATGTCTTCACCTGAGTTCTCTCTCTGCAACCTGTGTCTCTATTATTGTCCCAATAAAACTGCCTCCTCTCTCTGCATTGCTCCTTAAGTAGCTTCCCTTTCCTCTCCCTTCTGGTGAGAGTTGGGCATATCCTATTTCATCAAATCTGTCTTTGATTAGTCACTTTTTCTGCCACTCAGTTAGACATCACTTTCAAACATGGGTGCTTCCTTCTACAAATTAACTTTACTTTCATTGTTTGGGATTAAAAGCATGTTCCACTGGAGAGATGGCTCAGTGGTTAAGAACATTGGCTGCTCTTCCAGAGGACCCTGGTTCAATTCCTAGCACCCATATGGCAGCTCACAACTGTCTGGTCTGTAACTCAAACTCCAGTCAATCCAACGCCCTCACACAGACATATATGTATGCCAAACACCAAATGTACCTAAAAAGAAATAAATTAAAAAAATAAAATAAAAGGCATTGTGCTACCACATCTGGACCTAAGCTTTTCTTTACCTGAAACTTGCTCCATACCAGGCTGGCCTTGAACTTAGATCTGCTTGTCTGTGTCTTCTGCATTAAGGGCATGTTTGTATTCCAGCCGGATCACATAGACCTAGAAGGTCTTCGGATGTGATCTCTTGCCAGAGCAGCCATTAAAATTCCTTCAGGGGATCCAGATGTACTAAAGGGCCATCCATGACGGAGCAAAGGCAGCCACATAGTATACAGGGACACACAGAGTCAGGCTGATACATGCATGCAAATATGCAGATATATGGAGGCATGCATGGACACTTAAAGTCATGGACATGGTGTGATAGGAGAGACATGTAGGGGCACAGGAAAGCATACCCCAACATGCACAAACTGTTCTATTACTTCCTGGACCAAAGATTAATAGACACGAGAAAGGAGGGTGCTGAGAGATCATGCTTAGCCAAACAGAGTAAAGTGGAAGGCGCCTAAGTACAGACGAGATGGCCACAGGCATCCATGAGTGCTCACAACTCATTCATACACACCTTAAACCCGGACCCATCTGGACCTTTAGTTGAACTTGGTATCCCTCTTGACCCCTAGATTTGCCCAACATTCCCAAGCCCTTCCCTCTCTCCATGAGCATAGACTGTGCAGTCTTGTTACCTGTCTAACAGCTAGCTCAGTCTGAGACTATAGACAAGAGCCAGGGGAGCTCGACCTTCAAACCTGCAGGTCACGGCTTTCCTCACGCAACATGTACCCACACCCCTGCAGTTCTTGGCTGGCCCCTCCTCCCACTTCTAGCCTCACCTTGGCCTCAGAGCCCTCCACGTCATTGCTTTTGATGTCTTCGAAGCTGGTCTTGACGTTGACAGAAACTGAGGAGATGTTGGAAGAGGCAGCCTGGGAGGAAAGAGGGATGATGAGAGAGCTATCCCAAGTGCCATATGACAACCATGCCAGGTAGACCTGGGATTGTCCTTGGCTTTAGGCAAGGAGATACATCAGGACCTAGGCTGCAGGCCTGAGAAGTTGTGACAATGAACGAGATCTGTTGTGGTTCACTGCGACTGACACAGGGGAGGAATACATCTCCAGAGCTTGCCCTTCCCGCCGCTGAAGCAGGGTCCCTGGGGTGCTGAGGGAGAGAGTGAAGGGGAAAAGAGCGGGGAGGAGAAACGACAGGGGTGAGGAAATGGGACAAGGACCAGAGTGGGAGAAAGGCCAAACCATCAGGGAAGGGCTGGGGTCAGGGTTAGGTCCCCAATAAGGCTGGGCCAAGAGGTTGCTGCTGAGAGAGAACCCCACCTGTTTCTGGGACTTCTTGGCTTTCTTCATTCGCTTCATCTTCATCTGCTGCTTTTTGATTCGTTTCCTTTTCTGGGCGATGAGGCGGTCAACATCCACACCACACTAGAGACACGGTCAGAGGCGGAGGTTGGTACACTGGAGAAAGGATATTTAGAACCCGCACATAGACCAAGCAGGGACACCCCGGCCTCACCTTCTTTTTCAGTGAGTCACTGTAGAACTCAGCGTTGGCAAAGTACATGGTGGCCGAGGAACGGAAGACCATCACGCCAGGGACCTCTTTGGCCTGGAGATGAGGTGCAGCCAAGGTGGCTGAGCCTTCCTGGCTTTCCACTGTTATCCTCTCCACTCAGCTTTCCTCTCTTAGGGAGCCTGCTACCCCCTGCCCCCAGCCTGTGGCTGATACCCCTCCAGGAGTCTGGGCCAAAGCCTAGCCACATCACCCTTGCTCCCCACGTGCGGGTCTTGCCCCTCCCTGTCCCTGTCTTCCAGGTTTCGAGGTTTGGCTCTGTTCTGGGGCCATCCACCCCTGTCCTATGCTGCCTTCTGTACGCAGACAGGAGAACCGCACTAAGCTGCCATTCTACACACTTTCCCCCAGTTCTCGCTCCATCTCAGCCACAGCCCAGTGCTTTCCTGGGCATTTGGGCCTGTACCACATGAGGCCACCTCCCAGCCACACGCAGCTGGCTCCCTTCACATCTTCTCCCACAACCAGGGCCCTCATTCTACTCTTTATTCTACTTATACCTTCAAGGCTATGGGCCAAGGTGAAAGCTTATTTTATTCAGACCTTTGCTCCCACAACATGACACAAGGCTTTTGAGAATGTAAACTAGCAACTGAGGACTTTGTATTACCACTGAGCAGACCAGGAAACCTCCCTGCTCCTCTAGTCTCTTGACCCAGGGTTGTGCTTCCATCTCCAAGACTGATCCCATCAAATCATGCCCTGAACAGGGTCACAAATCCAATCGTCTCTCTTCAGATTCCAAGAGCCAAAGCCAAAGTGCGTTCAGCCCCTTGTGTGTGTCTGTGTGTGCACACATGTGTGTGTGTGTGTGTGTGTGTGTGTGTGAGTTGTGTATATGTGTGCGCGTGTGTATGGAGTTGTGCACCTTGCATGCAGAGGTCAGTAGGTGACACTAGGTACCCTCTCTATGGCTCTTCCTCTTTGAGACAGGGCCTCTTACTGCATCTGGAGCTTACCATCTGGCTAGGCTCACTGGCCAGTGGGACCCAGAGATCCTCCTGTCATTGCCTTCTGAGCAGCGGGGTTACGAACGTGCCCACTGCCATTCCTGGCATCTTATGTGGGTGCTGGGGACCCAAACTCAGGTCCTCACATTTGTATAACAGGGTACCCACTGAGTCACTTTCCCTGTCCACCTCCCGGTGCTCTGGCTCACGTGAAAGGGGATAAAAAGGGCCCATTTGTCTCAGCTGCCCCACCCACCTCCATTTAGCCCCTGCCACTCACCCCTGAGTATTCTGCTACGTCTCTATAAATATCCGTATCTGGCACCTGCCCCAGGATAGAGTAATGGGGCCTGAAAAGAGGGGGCAAAAAAAAAGAGGAGGCAAAGGAAAGACCATGAGCGGGGAATGAGGAACCTGGGGTGCCCCCAGAGGTGTAAGGAAAGCTGTGGACAGCCAGTGTGAAACTCACACCCTCACCAAGCTGGAATTGGGAGTATCAAAAATGGTTGACTCACAGCTGCATTCGGACCACCACGAGCAGCAGGGAGAAGACTATGGAAACTGCCAGGCCAATGTCCAGGTTCAGCACAATTGTGGCCACAAAGGTCACCAGCCAGATTAGCTGATAGTGAAAGGACAGGGGTCAAAGGGTCTACTGGCATGAAAGGCCCCAAGCCCAGGCCTGGGCTCCTAAGCTTCTCACCAGGTCCACTCGATTTGCCTTCCAAAGATAGCAGATGTCAGAGAACTGCTTCATCATGCCCTTTAGGTTCACAATAATAACGGCTGCCAGGACGGCCTGAGGCAGGGAGAATGTCACCAGGGTTGTTGAGAGTTCCTAGAGGCTTCAACCACCCAGGTATCGCCCACCCAGACCAGCCCCGCCTATAACCAACTACCACCTACACCAACCTTAACCCCTTGGAGCTGATTAGGAAGTTCTAATCTAAATGAGGTGGTGGCGCACGCCTATAGCTCCCAGCACTCTGGGACACAGAGGCAGACAGATCCCTGTGAGTTTGAGGCCAGTTTCTGGAACTTAGCCCTGTGAGTTCCAGAAGAGCCAAGGCTACACAGAGAAATCCTGTCTCGAAAAACAAACAAAGACACAAACTAAAAAAAGTTCTAATCTTTGACCTCTATCTAGTTCCAGATTTTATCCCAAAAGCTCAACCTTGTATCTCTGAGCCTCTGACATGACCTGAAGCCTGGCTGGGAGGGGTGAAGGCTCACCTTGGGCAGGTCCCGGAAGAGTTCCCCAAGTTTGAGGATAATGAGGAGGATGAAGAGGGATGATACGGCTCCAGCAACCTGCGGGGTAGGGGTCAGCAGGGGATGAAGGTCAGCAGTGGCGCCCCCCCCCCCCCCCGGGCAGACACAGCAATCGTATCCAGACGAACAGAGACCCACACATGCATGCTCACACCCAAGGCCCACCTGTGTGTTGCCCCCGGTGCTCTCCTGTACCAGGGTCCGGGACATGGAGCAGCTCACGGGGAAGCATTGGAAGAAACCTCCAATGAGGTTACTGAGGCCGAGGGCCACCAGCTCCTGTGGGGAAGTGTGGCGTGAGGAGTTTCACCAGGGATACCAGGCCACTCTCCTGGCATGCCTTGGCTGACACACTCCCAAACCCCGTGCCAAATCAGTGGCCTCCAATATTTGGCTGTTGTCACAAACACCCTGTTCCTCTACCATCATTCATTTACAAGGCCAGCCTGTCCCTTAACTCTAGCTCATTCCTACCATCTGGGCCCACATACACCTGCACACCCCTACATAGCCACGGCACAGACCTGGTTACTGTCCACGCGGTAGCCATGCCTCAGGGCAAAGATCTTCCCGAGGGAGATGGCAATGGCGAAGCCGACCACAGCAATGGCAAAGGCATTCCCCACAAGCGTTCCGAACAACTCTATCTTGGGTGCCACTGGCGGTATCAGCCTGGGGGACACAACTGTGAGGTCAGAGCACGGTCCTGGCTCTAGCTGCCCCACGTCTCTGACAGAACCAGAGCTTACCCCGTGGCGATGTCGCCCACAATGTCCACCTGGAATGTCTCATTCAGTTTCACACCATAGGAAATGCCAGTGGCCCCGATGAGCTGTGGGGACAGGACAGAGTCAGGGGAGGGAGGCACTGGAGGTATCACAGGGAGAAAGGTGAACCATTTGGGGGGACAAAATCTTTTTCTGAGGAATGGGAAGTTGTAGGTAGGGTGAGAGATGAGCATTACTGTTTGAAGAAGTGCCGCTATACTTCTTACACCAATAAAGAAGCCAATATAGGGCTTTCTGTTGTAGTCTCTCCCCAACACCCCAGAACCCTTACCGAGCTCACTCCAGCTGGCCCTCAAACACCCTGAGGCTGTAGACCAGCCAGCTCCGCCCTCACTCGCCCTTCTGCCCTGCCCCCCATCCCCCCCACGGGCTCCGAACCGTGAGCAGTTCCCCAGGTATGGGCAAGGGCAGATGTCGCTGCAACTTTTCATTCAACAGTTTCACCAGCACAAGCACCACTCCTGCCACGAACGCCGTGATCACGGTGCCGGGCACAGTCTCCGGCAGCTGTGCGCAGACCTCCAGCACTGTCTGAGGAGAAACGGTGTTACGGCCAGCATTCGAGGTCACGGGGCACCGCCTGCCGGCCCCTCCCTTGCTCCCACCCTCACTCACATAGATAACGGACAGCGGCCCAGAGTGACTTCTCGGTTTGACACCAAACACATACTTGAGCTGTGAGATGAGGACTTGCACAGACGCCGCCGTGGTGTAGCTGCGGACCAGAGGCTCCGACAGGTAGGTGACCACGAAGCCGAACTGAACCAGGCCCAGCCCCACCTGTTGGGCGGCCAGGGAAAGTCAGCGGGGGAGGCTGAGGTCATAGGCACAGCTAAGGGAAGGTGGGATTGGAGGGGGATATAAGTGACGCCAAGGGGATGGCTGTTCCCTACCTGGAAGAGGCCAACCAGGAAACTGAGCGTGTAGGCCACCTGCACGCGGGCGTCATCAACTGTGGCGTTCAAGCCTTGCAGGAAGGCCTCATCTTCAGTCAGGGATTCTGTCACACTGCCCACCATCACAGACATTACAGCAAAGGTCCCTGCAGGGGCAGGACAGGGAAGGTCTGGAGGCAGGAGGGTGCTGTCCTGCCCTGGAGCCCTGGTCTTAATTGAGAGAGGCCAGCAGACATCCCATTCTGAATACATACCCTTGGACTCCAGCTGTACAGATGGAGGTAGTACTGGCTAGGCATGGCCAAGGTCAGAAGTTAACCTTGAGCTCACCTGCTCTTAAGGCTAGTCAGTGATACTAATCTCATCTCCTCATCCTGCCTCACCAGTGTCCAGTGATCTGTGACACAAAGGCTCTCTGAGAGCAAGAATGGGATAAGGGTGGGCAGGCTAGACAGGCCTGTGGGAACTTCCAGGCCCCATGGACTACCTCGTTTGCCTCGTTCACCTTGAAGCCAGGGCTTTGAGAGTTCCTAAACCTCCAAGCCCCGTGGTCAGTTTCCTAGTACTGCTAGGGGCGATCCATAGGCTATCCTCAGCGGCCTAGCTCCACTGCTCTCTCCCCACGCTGCTCTGCCCTACCCAGCCTGCCCCTCCCCTCCACAGGGGATAGAGACACTCTGTGACAAGGTAGGCCTGACTCCACTTACCCACAGAGATGTGTCGAGAGGTACCAAACAGGAAGTACACGAAGACCGGGTAGAAAGAGCTGTACAGGCCAAACATAGGAGGCAATCCCGCCAAGAGGGCATAGGCCAAGCCTGGAGGTAGAATGGTAGCAATGCAGACTTGGAGAAGACGGTCTCAAAACGGTAGGAGAATCCAAACCCTGGGCTCAGGGGCCATAGTTCCAAGAGCAGAGGTCATGGCTCTTGGTTTGTCCTTTCACAGACCGCCGAGTTTACAGTCATTAAAGGTAGCTCACCCTGCGGAAGCTGCATGATGGCGACACTCAGGCCCGATAATAGATCTCCCAGGAGCCACTCACGCACGGGATAGCGGGGTAACCAGCCCAAGACTGGAATGTACTGGAGCAGAAGAGCGTAGGCCCGAGCACGGGAGCATCTAAGAGCACAGGCAATGTGTTACAGATGGGACCACCTGGGCCCTAACCCCGAACCCCTGCCAGACCTCTACCCTCATCAATACCGAAACCAAGTTCGCCACTGGTAGGTCTTGGGCACCGGGCTCCAGCGCCCCAGGTCCTCTAGTTGCTCCTGGTTCAGCAATGGCCTCTCCACATGGTAGTCTCGCCTTTGCAGCTCCATCTCTTGTGTTGCAGACAGAAGTGCCTGTGTCTGTTGTGGCCCTTGGTCTGGAGGGGCAAGACCACAGACATCCAATGAGGAGCCCCCTGGGCCGACATTTCCTACACTTCTACCTGCGACCACAGAGTCACATACCTGAGATTTCTGGCCTCAGAGATCAAGGGTAGATGTAACCCTTCTGGTCCCTGAGAGCCCCATGTTCACACCCAGACAGGGGCAGTATCTGAACCTTGGTTGCTGGAAAACTCTTTCTGGGCCAAAGTCTCTCGGGAAGGGAGAGCGGGATGAGCATGGCCTACACATCCAGCTCAGGTGTGGCTGCCCAGCCCTGAGTACCACTGCAAGTCCAGGTCCAGGTCCAGGTCCAGGTCCAGGCTGCCTGCACCTCCTAGCCCCTGCCTCTTGGCCCCTTGCCCTCCCTGAGTTAATTCCTGTCCACTCCCTTTTCCAGCTGCACCCCAAGCCCTGCCTAGCTGGCTGAGAGTGTGTTCACAGACCTAGCGAACCAGGGGTCTGTAAGCAATACTACCTAAGCTTCAGGACAGGCTTAGGCTCCAAACCCTTAGGCTCCAAACCCTCACCTCCACCTAGACCTCAGGCTCCAAACCCTCACCTCCACCTAGACCTCAGGCTCCAAACCCTCACCTCCACCTAGACCGCAGGCTCCCACGTGAAGTAGGGAAATTTCCTGTGGGAACAGCAGCTTTCAGAAGCCAATCCAACCTAGAGGGAACTTAAAGCCTTTGCCAGCCAGGCATGTTCTGACCTGGGGTGTGGGGACTGCAATGGCTCATCTGGCCGGAGCGGGAGAAAGACTTTCCCAGAGACTAGGAGGTGGGGAGGGAAATGGTTCTCATCTGGAGAGTTCTCTCAGAAGAGACTCTGATCTGGGGGACACTCCATACGGAATACAACTCTCTTCTGCAAATACATTTCAAGGGGGCAAATGTAGAATGCGGGGAAGACTACAGCTAGACTCTTGGGAAATATTTCACTAGTGAGTTCTGATCTAGCAGAGGCTATAACCAGAGGAGAGGACCCCACCAGAGGGGTAGGGACTCACCTGGGAAGAGCCTCTAACCTGGGTGTCCAAGATGAAGGAGGGAGCAGACCAGGTGCAGGGAGATCTTCAGAGAGTCTCTACACCGCAGACTCCGGGAGACCTCAGAGGCCCCTCTCCCCCTCCTTCGAGAGCGCTCAAGTCTTCTTAAAGGGCTCCCCCCCCCTTATCAGGCGGCACGCGTCTACGGGGCGGAGCCTTGATGCTTGGCACCTCCCAAAGGGAGGGCACAGGGGCCCGCAGCGGCGGAGCGCTCATCACCCAAGCGGCTCATCCACAGCCCGGCTAGAGCCTGTCTGCAGCGGTCTGTCTCCCGGTCCCAAGGCGCCCAGCCCGGACACCTCCTGGACCTGGACCCAACGGCAGGCAGCCACCTCCCTGCGGCCCCCTTGTTAGCACTCCAGGGACTCTGAGTACAACCTTCGAGGGTCGCGCCGGATCCCGCCCCCATCCCTCGCTGCTGCCGGACAACCACCAGCGGAAAATCGGCAAAGCGGTAAAGCGAGGCTCTGCGGGCGGGAAATGCCTGCTGGGGATTTGGCAGTTCCCTTTCTGAACTGACCCCAGGCCGGGAGTCACAGGACTATTAGCGTTTAGCGGACACGCGGAATTCGGGCGGCGCCCTGAAACTCACCGGACCCATCGGGCAGCCCCATGGCCCTCAGAGGGCAGCTAGAGTGCCTCTGTCCGGACAGCCGCCTGGGAGGCCACCATCAGCTACAAGGTGGCGCCCTGGGGAGAACGAGGCCGGCATCACGCTCCACCGCCAGGATGTGCATTTGCTCAGGCCAATCAGAATTCCGGGGGTGGAACCTAAGTCACACTTTCCGGGCGGTTGCGAAGCAGGAGAATAAAGATTTAACCCTTTCCCTCTCAGCGGCCTAGCTTCTCTCCCCTCATCGTTCAGTGGCTTGCCGGGAGCTGGGGCACCGCTGGAGGACTGGAACGAAGGACCTGTGCTTGACCAATGCTGTTCCTCCGTGCCCCTGAATGGATGGACCTGACTGTATGTTCTAGCTTTGTAGAGGGCCCCCGTGTAATGCAGAAGAAAAATTCTTGAATGAACTGGACGCCCAGGTGTGTGACCAGGGGCCTTAGCCTCAACTGTGGGAGAGCAGAGACCACCACGCTGTGGGCACTACCCTCAGATTTTTCCCTCTGAGACACTCTGTAGAGCAGGCTAGTCCACAGAGATCTACCTGCCTCTGAGTGCTGGGATTAAAGGTGAGATCAATTGGCGTTTGCTATCACTCCTGATGGTTCTGATTGCCTAGACTGGACATGGAGCATTGAGGGTCCCTTCCCACCCTCAACAACCCAGTGATCTGAGAAGGGCCCTCCTGGGGAGGTTTTCAGCTTCAGAGTCAGGGTCGGAGTGTGGGTGGTAAAGCAGGAACTGCACCCCCAGCTCCAAGGTTTGGTTGGACAGATGGGCACCCGATGTTGAGTAAGCCCTCATGTGACTGCTTAGACCAGGAAAGTGGCTTTTCTCTGCCAGCTCGTGTGCTCCAACTTCAGGATCCAGTCATAAGGTGAGAGGCCGTATTTCAGAAAGAAATGGGAACCTGGTCCAAATCTCCCATGAAATGGGCTAAAAATAACTGGACATTTTGGAGGGAGGAGGGCTCAGATTCCTTCAAAGGTCATTCTGGGTGAACCATTCATAGCAACCATCCTACATCTGAAATAGAAAGAGGGACAAGTGTTTTCTATAGAAGTTTATTCCCAAAACAGAGCGCGGCTTCACGGAACAATTTACACAGACAGGAAAGAGGGCCACTGTGTTGGAGGGGGACCCCAGAGATGGGCATCTACAGAACCTAGGACATAGTAAAGAAACTCTCCCACCGACAGGCCACTGAGCCCTTCAGGGGCAGGAGTCAGTCTGGGGAAGGAGATCCGGGACCTGGCTGGTGGGATTTGGCACAGGCAGTGAAGTGGGATTTTTGAATCTCAAAAACTGCCTCCCAAGAGTATGCACAGGGTAGAGGTGGGTGGCATTTGCACAGAACCCCAGGCCTGAGCCATCTTCGGGTGAGCTGTTAGAAGAATCAGCTGACCTCTGACCTGGGAAAGGTCAGATTTGGAAGCCCACCTCAAGATCGCCAGGTCCAGGGCTGTCACAGGTAGGTCTTCTAGTCCCCTCTCCCACTTTTTCTACCTTTCACTTGTAAACAAGGGGGGGGGGAGCTAACATTCTCAACTGTAAACAAAGTGTGTAGATTCCATGTTTTAAGCTGTAAACAGTAAATAAAATCCAACAGTTTTAAAAAATAATCTTGACCTGTAAACAAAGTAACAAAAATGTAAAGTCCCCAGTCCTGGACATCAGACAAATAACACAAGGGAGCTTTGTGAACAGGACCCCAGCAGTCATTTTGCTTTATAAGGAACCAGCGGGAGGCTACATTCTGGGTCTTGGATTCCCTTTTTCTGCTCCCTTTGTTCACCCCCACCCCACCCCGCCCCGCAGAGGACAGCTTAGTGAAGGAATGGCACCATAGACTAGTGTTGCTCTGGCAGGGGAAGGAGGGACACCCACCCCCGCAGGAATGTCTGATTAGAGGCCCGAGGCCCTCCCCAAGGGAGAAAGGGAAGCCTTGATCTGTAAACATGACTTCTGCTGCTCCGCCAGCACCCGCAGCATCGGTCCTAGGTCTTAAGGCAGTAAGTGGCAGGGACTCCAAGTAACACGGAGCCACACCCACGGGGAGGGAGGAGTGGCACGAGTGAGCCATCAGGAGGCAGCTGGGGGACCCCGGTTTCCAAAGCCAACCCCCAAACACAGGGGTTTGGCCTAGGGGGCATCAGAGAAAATGCAAAGAAGATCAGATTTGCACTCTGGACCCCAGCAACTTTCAGATCAATGTGGGGAAGAGGAGGGGAAAAGAGAGGATCTGCCCCATACGTCTGCTCTACTCTAAGATGAAAGAAAAGAGCAGATGGTTTGCTAAGGACCCAAAGGAGGCCAAACTACGTCTCTCTCCCATCTCCTTCCCCTCCCAGCCCAGTCTCGGACCCCTGGGAGACAGAAAAGCTGAAAAATAACATAAGCATATCTCTCTGGTTACAAAGGTACAAAACGTATAAAAGTCCTCCCGCAGCCCCGCCCCCTGCACCTGTCACACCCATGCTCACAGGTGTCACATGCATGCTCACAGATGCACATGGGACCGCCATACTGCACTGTACTGAGCTGAGGGGAGGGCTTGAAGAAGGCTGCCTTGGGATCAGTCCTGGAGTCTCTTCTGTCAGCCCAAATCCTCTGCTGCCCTGGTGGCTCCTCCTCTGCTGGTCGGCCCCTCAGGAGTGACCCTCGCTTCTGGGAACTCTGTAGAGTTGGACGTGGAAACGAAGGCCATGGCTAAGGGGAGGTTTGCCTCTCAGCGCTCAGCCCCTTCACGCCCACTCCAGGATTCTGAGCCCTCCACACACCCGCCTGGACCTCCGCTCTCTAGACTCATTAGCAAGGCTACTTGACTACCTAGGTGTCACAGAGCTTCGTGAGCCACCTTCTAGGTAGAGATGCTGCGCCCAGCACCGCTACGATGGATAGTGTCACAGGGCCTCACGTTTCAAGGCATTTGTTCCTGTAAACTCCCTCAGCAGTTGCAGAGACTACTGTCCAGCTTGTACTGGGCCGAGGTCACAGCAGATGAGAGATAGAACTCAGACTCTGTGATCCTAAAGCCCAAGTCCTTACCCAGGCCTCCTGGCCCTTCTGCAGACCCGAGGCTAGACTGCAGGGACCCAAGTGGCTTATCTCTTTCCTGTCCTTACCTTTCAGTATCCTCTAGAATCCAGGCTCCCAAGCCCCTGCTGCCTCCCTCCTTTCTGTTCTCTCTCAGCATTGGCCTTTGCTCAGTGCCCTGCCCCATCCCCAGAGACGCGAGACCCCCTAAGTAAGTTCTCCTCCTGAAGATAGCTAGCCCAGAACTTGCCCTGGCAGTTACCCCTTGAGAGACAGTCCTATTGGCTTATAAGACCTAGTAACTCTAGCTGGGCCTTGCTTACTCTGAGTCTGGGCAACACTCTCTCTGCAGTACCCCCACCCACGCCTTCCTTCTTGGATTCCTGTGTTTCCAGCTGGGTGTCTCAACCTCACAGATGCCCTACAGGCACTTGAGATGTGTGTGCCTACCCCCTCAGTGCTCACAGGCAGGAGCAGCCTCACACTGAAGGAATATAGCAATGAGTGAATGACGCACTTTCGGAGTTAGCACTCAAGCTGGCCTAATAAGCAGCTATTCCGTATGAACTCCTA